CTGAACGCCTCGAAATGAAAATGTATGTATGTATGTATGTATGTATGCATGCATGTATGTATGTATGTATGTATGTATGTATGGGTGTATGTAGGGATGCTCGCCTGAGTTCCTGGAGTACGAGTGTCAAACATGTGCGGATAGTCGGATGTATGTATGTTTGTATGCATGTATGCATACCCACAGATCCATGTACATAAACGTAAACCTTCAAAGGCATATGCTTATACAGTTACATGTGCATGTGTATGGACGCACGCATGTACATGTATGTGTATGTGTATATATATATATATGTATTTATGCACGGAACCGTATGGTCCCTGGATTCTAAGCTGGCTGAATTTCTGCACAAAAACTAGTGTGTCCTATCATCTTGCCTGATATCCTAAGCGCTCCTTGCTGAAACTGTTCAGAGAAGGCCTTTGCTAGAAGATCTGGCCAAGAATGCCTTGGAAGCGGGTGGAGCCCAGAAGGTGCAACGACGATGTTTGAGCAATCGGGGAAGCATTGCTTTAAACCTTAAAAGCCTTAGCCACGAACCCTCCACACCCCGCCCCGCAAAACAAATGAACCTTCAATGTCCTAGTAGCCTTACAGCACCTATGTGGAAACAAGCGCCAACACGTTGTAGTGATTTGTTGAGGGTTTAGGACGGGCTCTACAAAGGGTTTCTTGAACGTGCTTTCTCCTTTCGGGGCCCTTACAAGTCTGGAGCCTACTGTGGAGTGTGTCGGTTTTGGGTCCGCTGCGCGGGCGATGTCCCGGCGGGTCTCCCAGCGGCTAGACAAAGTGGTCCGGGTATCGTTTGTTAGGGGCTCCTATTGAAGAGCTAAAGTAGATGGCCTTGCCCACAATAGAACAAGTTGAGAAGGCTAGGGCATTTTGGTGTCGTTGCTTTCGTTCAGAGTTGGGCTACGGACTTTGCATAGTATAGCAGAGTTGGAAATCATATCCCTTTATCGTCCTGATGTGGTGTTGCTATACTTTGCCTCCAAAGCCTATTCTGTTTCGTAGGTCCTGAGGCTAAATAAAGACAAGTGAAGTGAAGAGAGCTTTCAGCTTTCCCAACGGGAGTGGCTGTCGTGTCTTTGGGTGACATGTCCAAGACAAGTACGCCCAAGCTCGCTCCCAAACCCTGGTCCCTGCTCCCGAAATTTTAGGCTCTACACTGTAGGGTTTAGGGTTTTTGGGCCCTAAAGCCTAAACCTAAAACCTGATGACAGAACTTTTGCTCTGGTGTCCTTTCTCGTGGCTGGTCTTCGCCGGGGCGAGCTGCAGCAACGTGAGGGAATTTCGAGAAATTGGTGCCAAAGAGGTTCATGGGAGTTCAAACAAGCAGCTGCCAGCTATAGTTTACCATACCTCAACGTCCCGAAAAACCCCACGGTGAATTCGGCGGATGTTACGACAATGTTCATCCGAAGCTCCCCTCAGCTTCAAGCTGAAACTACGAAGTTAGAGTTGAGGCTTTCGGTTTCGGGAGCACCGACGTCGCTTCATTTAGAGTTCATGGGTGCTTGAATCCAGGGCTACAGGCACCCTGACTCTAGGAATAACTCAGAGCATACTCAAGTTTGCTATTCAGAGCCTTGCTCGAAAAGCCCAATTTTTACCCACAGAGGAAGATCAAAGCCGGCAGGTCTCTGGCATCTTTGATAGATATATCTGCTTTGTGTCCTTGTCGTCCACGCTCTTCTCGCTGAACCTCCCTTGCGCGACCTGGCGAAAGTTACCCGGTGTTGGGACTGGGTCTTGGCCCTTGTGATTGCCATTTCAGATGCTCCGGCTTGCATGTGCCAACGTAGTCTTATTGTCATTTGTATGGTTGTTTCCGAAGACAAGTCTTAGCGAGCTCGTATGTGGCGCCAACGTTTCGTACGGAGACATGGCAGTAGACGATTGCCAAATTTCGTCAGCCATGCAGTATGGCAGCTGCAGCTGCTGAAGCTGCTGCTACAGCCGGTAACAGCTACAACAGTAGCCACCAGCTCCACCTCCAACTCCACCTCCACTGCCGCCGCCACCAGCACGACGACGACGACGGCGGCGACGACTACTGCCACTGCCATAGCCACCACCACCGCTACTACGGCGACTTCTACGAGGACGACGACTACTCTATTATATAGTACCACCACGACGACTACTCCGAGTGCTGCTGCACTGCTACCCCCATTGCGACCGCGACAGGGACTGCACCTGCCATCAACACCACCGTGCATTGCCAACACTAGCGGAACTAATGCTCTTTGTTGTTGCAGTTGCCATGGCCACGGGTTGGTGCAGTTGCGAGCAATCAATTATTGTTCCCTCCATAGCTGCCGCCGTTACTCCGGACATGGCGAGCAGTGGGTTCAGCGGGGAAGTCTTCGTGTGGACCTTCACTTGGAGTCGCTGCATTGGGTCGTGGGCGGAGTACGTAAAGGTCTGGGTCCAGAGGCTATGGCTTCATCGTTTAGGTTTATGTAAAGCCTTCGCAGGGTGGCGTTCTGGGGCTCAAGAGTCTGCAGACTGAGGTATATAGAGACCTCCACAGCACCCACCTTTCGGAGCAAGCTATGCGACAGAGACTTGGCTGAGTGTGGAAGGGCAGGTCCTAATTAAGGACGTAAAATATACCCGCTAAATCCCCAACCACAAACCCGAAATAGTTTTAGGCTTGGGGCTTCGGGCTCACGGTTCAGATGGTGCAGGGCCGTCGAGCGCATTGTCGACGGGCTTCTGTCCGTCGTGGCGACGATGCGAGTGCTGCCGGTTCCTGGGCTGATGGCAACACATCTAAAGCCGCATGACTCTAGCCGCGGGTTGGAAACCTGTCCCTTTGTAGTCACTTTCCAAGCATCGCGCAGTGTACCCCTGCACCTCTTCGTCAAGGCAAGGGCTGCAATGGTGCAGCGGTTTGCAGTGGTTTGGGCTTCGGATCCGTTGAAATTTTAAGGGAAGCCCTTGGAAAAACATGTTTGCTTCGCTTTCTAATCATTGAGCTGGAACTCCGAGTATTTACAATCAGGTTTTCGCAGCACCCAAAAGCAGTTTTGGCACCTTACAGTTACATAGCCTTTCTTAAACAGCCTCTGTGAAACGAATTCGTGTAAGACCCTGGCAGTACAGCACACGCCGACAAGGTCCTTCGTTGAGCCCCGAAGCCTGCGTCCGCAGGTGATCCGGTGTCCACCCGGCGAAGCTGCTCAGATGGTGGCAGAACGATTAGAGGACGATGTAGGGTTTACAGGTGACTGAGCCGTGAGGGAGAGAGAGAGAGAGAGAGAGAGAGGATACTGTGCACTGCAGCCGCTGCTCAAAAACGATTCAGGCTTACAGTAGGGCTTCAGGGCGTGTTTCGGAGAGGACGGTATCCAGTCCCTGACGTTTTCCGCAGGTGGGAGTTCCAGGCTCAGCAAGCAGGATTCCTCTTCAACGGCCGTGGGCTCGCAACCCCCAACGTGAAAGAAGCAGATCTGCATAGCCCAAACCGTGAACACCTACACCCGCAAGCCTCAACGCCCCAAAGCCCGCAAGCTTGAGCCGTAAACCCGAGGTCCTTGAATTCTCAGCTCCAACCCCGGGGCTTTGCAGCATGGAGTGTGTGCCGTATTGTTATAAGCAAGTGAAGTGGGAGCATGAGCATGCGCCGGGTTGCTTGACGTACGCCATACTTACTAAATTACGTCCCTTTAAGTCATTGAAGTAAAGCAGCCTGGATCTTCAGCTCTCCCCTTGTTCAGGAGCGCATACGTGAGCTCCTGCAACTTGGATGTGCGAGATCTTGACGCAGGGGTTAGTTCTCTGAATTAGGGTCGCTACTGTATGGGTCGCTGCTTGCCTTTCCGAGGAGGCAGCACCACACTTGTGACAAGTTGCTACATGCCGAGCTTGGAGAGCTTAACTCCCCGTTGAGGAGGTCTTGGGAGGTGAGAGAACTTCTCTCATGTATGGTGTTTGGGAGCAATTTTGGTGGCCGTGTGGCATCGGAGGACTCGCACTTTTTAAGGCTTCAGGGTTAGCAGTCGAGTCGCTTGTGAGGAAAAAAAAGGATATTTTGGGCACTGACCCTGAGGCGGCCGGGGCTTCAGGGCATCCGCAAAGAGCATAAGCAGCTGAACCCCAAGGGCCCTAAACACTTGGGGTTTGTGAGTTCGTTTCCAGCGGCTTTCTCACGTTGCGGGCTTTCTGGGTCCAGGCTTCGGGGTTGAGGGCTGCATGGGTTTAGTTTTGGGTTGATGGCTTCGGGCTCTCAAGGGATTCCTAGTGAGTGCTTTTGGGTTCCTTCGAGGGTTCCCGTTGGGCTCATCTGTGGTTGTCGGGGGCTTCCAGAAGGTCTTGCGGGTTGCCGGGTCGGGATCCGAAGATCGCAGTCTACACCGAGCTCTGCCCTGAAGGCCCCAAGCCCAAGCCCCGATTGCCCTATACTTCTAAACCCCCAAATCCCGAACCAGAGTCAAAGAATCCGAACCCCTAAGCTAAAGCCCTAAAGCCCCAAATCCCTGAAACCCTAGATCCGAGTTCCAAGAGCGGCGTGGCCGCCGAGCTCTTCGCGGCTGCGCGCACCAGCGCTGAGGCGCCGGGTGCGTCGCGCCGCCCGTCCTGTTCCGGCTTTTGTAAAGGCTATGATGCATGCAAGGGTTATACCATAAGGGTGTCAAAGGGCTGTAGGAGGGTTGTGTAGAAAAGGCCATGATTCAAGGGTCATATAATAAAGGTTTCATAGGGTTGTGAGATTGATCCGGCCTTTATAAGGGTTCGCCACGCTAGTTTGTATACTGCCATTGCATATACCCTTTCAACAGCCCTGATTGCAGTCTAGGAGTTGGGGTGGCTTCCAGATTCCTGAGCCCAAGCGCCCAAATACCTTCACTTCAACAACTTGAACCCAACTCTGGAATTGCTTGCAGATTCCTTGCGCAAGTTCCTAGTCTGACAGGGCCCCTGGGTTTGCAGTGTCGAACTGACACAAGGGCCTCAGCAGTATTTCTTCCGGATTCCCGAATATGCTATATTACCAGTGTAAACCTTACACCCTCAATCTGAAACCTTAAAATCGAAGGCCCCAAGCTCTAAATCAAACAGCTTATGTCCCGAGGGCCGCTGCTGTGCATCCTCGACCGAGATGTAGCCGCGGCCTCGCAAGTGTCGGGTTCAGGATTTCAGCTCCTGTTACCACCGCCACTGCAACTGTTGCCACCTTCTCAAGCTAGTGCTGAGATACTCCATAACATGCCCCAGCAAGCGCACACGAGGCTCAAAGACTATCGAGGCTGTCCGATAGTGCCAAGGACCTGGTCACGATGCTCAACCACACATGGACCTACCAGGCCAAGTCCGTGCAAGTGTGAGGGTGTCTGGGGTGGTGATGAAAGAGCGCAAGTAGGTTCCGGTTTGTGAAGAGCTGGCCCTTTGTATAGATCAGAACTCGAACGGGCCCTTCAACCCTTCACCCATGAGCCCTCAAGCCTACAGCCCGAAGCCCGAAAGATACCCTAAACCCTAAACCCTAAACCCTAAACCCTAAACCCTAAACCCTAAACCCTAAACCCTAAACCCTAAACCCAACCTGAAACCGCTTGGTCTGGCAGGCAATGGTGCACGACATCCTCGGCATGCGGCTGAACAAAATGCAGGCCTCAGATTCGGGGCTTCTGCGGCTCTGGGACTTCGTTTAGGCAGAACCGGGTGTAGCGAGTCGAGCCCTGCCAGGGTCGAAGACAAGCCGGGGGTTTTTGAGAGAGGGTTCTAAGTGGGCCTGGCTGTCATCTCTAGTTGCCCCTGCTTCGATGTTTTCTACTTCCCCTTGCTGGGCGTGAGGATATCAGGCGCATCCGAAGGGCCCAACCTCGTCCTTCTGAGCTTTGTTATAAGCCTCAGTCCCCCGAAGCCGTAGACTTTCGATCGCGCATCCCTTGCTGACAACTTGAAGGGTCAAGGGACTTAGGAAGTAGGCCAACAGTAGGCGTAGTGTGTAGGTATAGAGTGCCTATAAGCTCCCTTGTCACCTACTTCTTGACTCCCTTGGTCCCCAGCCCCGTCTAGCGAAAACACAGCAAGAAGCCCGAGGAAGCATTGCGCAAAAGTGCAAGCAATAAAGGCTCGTAGAGGTTTGGGGCAACCTCAAGGCTTGGGCTCGGATCCTAGAGGGAACCTCTTTCAGCACTCGCCAGCCGAAGCTTACCGTCCTCCAACACTGAGCTTATGAAGCTCTTACATCCCCAAGCATTAAACTCTGAGCCTCAAACTCCTTAATTCAGGGTTTACGGAAAAAGGGCCCGTATGGTTCAGGGTGTAGGGCCCTTCTCTACCCTGTCTGGGAACACCATGAGATCGGCAAATGTGTGTGGTGATGCTGAGGCGATGGCACAAGCCCTGATGCAAAAAGGGCCCTTCTACCCTGGGCTAAACCTTGTCAGGACAATGCCCGAATCGCAGGATTGTTTGGCGTTCAGGGTTTAGCTGCTAAGCCTGAACGCTAAACAATCCTACAATTCGGGCATTGTCCTGGCAAGGTAGGAGGCAACAAAAACAGCCAGACCGCAAACTCCCCGAAGCCTGGACTGTCTGTTCTTGCAGGTGCCAGTCGAGTCGGAGGATGCCTCGGCCCCACCGAAACCCAGGCGCGGGAGGGAGGCCCGAGGCCCTGAAGCCAGAACGATTCAAAGCCCGAGCGCCCGAAACCCCGAAGTCGGCGATGAGAAGACTCTTGGTTAGGGTTTAAAGTTTAGGGTTTAGGTCAATTCTCAAAGCACCAAAACTGGCACACCCGCAAGACGAAAAACAATCAAACTCCTTAAGCAAGTCAGGTCCTACGACGTGGACGAGGCGGACGCCTTCTGGACCGCGCATGCGGGAGACCAGTTTCCTGAAGTCCTCAATGCCGCCCCTTGCCTCAAGACTCAGACTTTACACTGGAAGCTTTTTGTCAAGCCCCCCCGCAGAAAAAAACCCTAAACCCCCAGCCGAGAACCTCAAACTTAGGCCACGAGCTCCGCTCCCCAGGAGCCATGACTGGCATTGTTTCATCTAAATCCCACTTCTTGACTCTCCCTAAACCCTAAACCCCAAAACCCAAAACCCAAAACCCTAAACCCTAAACCCTCAACCTACATGTTACATCTCGACCCTGAGAGCCGCCAACCCTTACATTCAGAAATCCTTCGCTGACCTGCACGGCGCCTCCGTGCTGTGGCCTGATGTATACCGTGTACCCTTTCAATAGTTGGGGCTGTTGACAAGCCCGAGAACATCACGAGCCGAACACCCTAAAGCTCTAAACCCCTCAAATCCTACGTGCCATGTTCCGATCGAGAGCCCAAACCCCGAGATTGAAGCAATCTGCCTTGAAGTAGATGATATCATATGATAGAGCGCAGGGTGGAAATGGAGGATGCGTGGACTCATTACTCCCCCGTCTGCTTGCGGGCCCTCAAACCTTTGCTGGAGGGCTGCCGATGAGCGTGCAGAGGCTCTCTGAGATGGCGGAGGGAAGGAACCGCTTTGGCAGCCGTACCCTGCGTGCCGTTGCATCCATCCATCCCTCCCTCCCTCCCTCCCTCCCTCCCTCCCTCCCTCCGTCCCTCCCTTGCTTCATCCGTGCATCCATCCGTCCGTCCAGGACCCCTGTAAGGAGCAGGCAGGTGAAGCTGGCAAAATAGCTAGTTTCTCTCTTTTACGGTGTCCTGCACTTGCTAAACGCTTGGGTTGCAGCCGAGGTCCCGAAAGCTATCGAGGCGGCTTCCAGGGTTTCTATCACCCCTTCCGAGAGGGAGCCCTTTGTCTAACCCGTAAAGAAGCAGCCTTCACCTCTGAGAAGGTGTGGGATCTTTATATTTAGGGGACCGTTTAGGGATCTTATTCGGGACTGCAATTTGCTTATCTTCCAATCACATGCCAATACACTGAGTTCCACTCGCAGCGCGGCAATTCTCTCCAAGCAGTACCACCCCAAAGACCCCAATCCCTGAATCCTACACACCCAAAGCCCTATAGAGCCCACTCCCAAAACTTAAACCCTAAACCTTAAACCCTATATTCGAAGCCTAAGATCCTGAACCTCTAACGGAGCTCAAACTAAAGACCTCAAGCCCAACCGTCTGAGCACCTTGTTGCAGGACTTCGAGAAGAGAAGAACCGAGATGGCGGGCTCGGGCCAGCAGGAGGTTGGGCTTGACAAGCTTTGTTTGAGGCTCCGACTAGTTGCTTAAGAGTGCCTAAACCCTAAACCCGAAACCCTAAAGAGTGTTCCTTGCTAGTCCCTGTCTGCTTATATGAAGGATGCGCTAGCTCCCGGGCTTGCGGCTGCCATCAATGCGCTGCCGGAGATGTGGCACCGGCTGCAGTTGGTTTCAGGGTTTAGGGACGGCTATCCTTTCCGCGGTTTTGACATGCGACCCACCTTTGCTTGCGGTTCCTTGTTTTGAGTGCAGTGGGGTTCAGAGTGAGGGGATTAGGATCTACGTGCCGACAGCCGAGGACTGAGAAGAAGCGCAGCATCGAGACACGCCTACAATGAGTGAGTAATGACCATTTCCATTTTCTAATCATGCACCACCCCCTAGCGCCCAAACCATAACAACCTATACCTCAACCCTAAACTCACCAAAAATCCCAACCCCAAGACCCACGAGAAAAGAACCATTAGAAGACCCATAGGCAACCACATAGAAAACCCCAGCATACACCCGCACCCCCATAGAAAAACCTATATGCCCAACCTGAAATCCCTAACCCTTGAAAATGGAAATGGTCTTCTCTAGTAAAATATCTATAATAGGAATAAGGTTTAAGAATAAAGTTGTAGCGCCTGCGATTTCTACACGCGCATGTGACGCAGCAGCGGCTTAAGGTCTGTTCTTGTATTCTTTGGAGGTTTAGGGCTTTCGGTTGTTTTGGTTGTGTAAATGTGTGTGTGCGCATGGGCAA